ACACATCTTGACATGGGAGCGGTGCACTTGGACACGGTGCATTTGGACACAGCCAATCACAGCACCGTGTGATTAGAGACATTTGTAGGGTCTCTTGGAACAGCGACTTGTGATTGCACTGTGTCCAATTGCCCCGTGTCCAACTGATATACCCCTCTTGACACATGTACACAGAAATGCACAAAGTGTAAAGGTGCCTTTACATGGGAGTATCGAGCGTTGAGCGTTAAAACGGTAGCCAATCAACGCGCCACTTTCCGCAAAAACTACAAGTATACTTCTGGAACCTGATACGTTGATTGGCTAACGCTTTAACGCTCGACGCTGGAACGCTTCCATGTTTTGGCACCTTAACGTTGTGTACGATTCAATTGGAACAAAATGTATACGTATGTCGGGTAGGGTTAGGATTATTTTTCAACTATACTTATATTTTGGTATTTTTTAATAATAAATAATAAAATCTAAATATTAAAAAAGATATTATCTACTTCACGTCGCAAATGCCAGTCTTTTTTCAAGCCGCTACGCTTATTAACTTTAATAATCACTAGAAAACACTAGTTTACACAGCCGACTAGTAGCCCTTGAGCTGAGAACGAATGTGTAATGTTGTGTCGATGATTACGATAATTGGAATGCAACTTGTGTCGCCGTGTGCATAAAAGTGTCTAAGGATATTGCAATTAGAAAGCACTCAGAATTTGGACATTTGAAAAATTCTAGGGTTTTTTACATTATACATGTATATATGGATGCTTTTCAATTGTTTAACACATCTTGACACATATGTATACAGAAATGCACAAAGTGTAACGTTGTGCACGATTCAATTGGAACAAAGTGTGTACTAATGTGTATATATATCGGATAGGGTTAGGATTATTTTTCAACTGTGCTTATATTTTGATATTTTTTAATAATAAATAATAAAATCTAAATAATAAAAAAGATATTATCCACTTCACGTCGCAAATGCCAGTTTCTTTTCAAGCCGCTACGCTAATTAACTTTAATTTTCACTAGAAAAAATTAGTTTACACAGCCGGCTAGTAGCTCTTGAGCTGAGTACGGATGTATAGTATTGTGTCGACGATGGGTGCTTTCCAATTGCTTAACACATTTTGATACACACGTACACAAAACCAGTTTATTGGTCACATATTATCTAAAATATATTGTAAGATAATATGCAACTAATAAACTGGTTTTGTGTAACAGTGTATGCAACTGGAAAGCACCCGATTATGATAATTGGAATGCAACTTGTGTCGCCGTGTGCATGAAAGTGTCTAGGGATATTGCAATTGGAAAGCACCCTATACATATGTAAAAATGTGTAAATATGTAAATATAAATATGTAAATATGTAAAAAATGTAATATACATATATAAAATATCTAATGGCTTCTGCACACAGGACTATGTTTGCTGCGCGGCGGAAACCGCGCGACAGTCAATCAATATATTGTTTTTCCGTAAAAGCTAGTAGGTTATTACGGAAAGCAGCATATTGATTGGCTGTCACGCGAACTTCCGCCGCGCGGCAAACATTACCACGTCCTGTGTGCAGGAGCCATAATGTCCGGTTTTACTAACGCAAGGTAATCAAACCGGTTAATTGACTCAACGAAATTGTCCAATAGCATTGTCAGGTTGCTAAACTGATCCATGCGATTGGGCAATTTAATTTGATAACTCGCGTTGAAACCGGGCCTAAGCTTAAAACTATTTAATCCTTTGACTATATAAGTATGGACTGCCAGTTACCCCCATTTTTCCTATTCTCACAATGCTTCGCTATGTAATCAACATTACGCGTGCCCCCGAAGATAAATGTCAAAAAATCGAAACATGATGTCAGATTTCGATGGTAAAACAGGAAGGAAGACAGAGATGGAATATGACACACGCTGCGCTGTTTTATCACGTTTGATAAAGTGCAGAACCATTTGCAGTATAAATAAAATATGTATGTATAAAATTAACACACAGTGAAATAAAGATAACAAAATATATATATATATATATATATATATATATATATATATACAGGGTGAATATTATATACCGGAACACCTGAATATCTCAAAAACAAAGCGTTGTATAAAA